AAATTTAATCTAAGTATTATAAATTCTTTACGCATACGAATACATATTTAAATTTGAGAATGGTTTGTTTTTTTAACCAAATATTCATTATTTTTATTTTGTTTCGGTAAAACCAATATATAGACACATCAAAATTATTTGTTAAAATGTTTACTATAATCATTTGTTAGTTAGAAATATATGAAAATTATTATGTAGGCATATATTATAATTAAATTAAAGAAATAATTTTTTGACTTGATTGATATCTTTATTTGTTCTAGGTATTTATGATTACGCATTCTTTAGACGAATTATTGTTTGCTGCTAGTACAAAGTTTGAAATCAATGCAAAAAGAATCTTTACTCCCCAAGGTGGAGAAATTGATGATATTAAGTTGATTAGGTAAAATCATTAAATTATAATTTGGGACATTAAGTAAATGTTACTTTTTAATAGATCTCTTAAATTATTTACATTTAATTTATTTTTATAGAGATGATGATATATTATATGTTTCAAGTGGAGAAGATTTCATTTCTAAAAATAAAGTTGCTAACGATGATCAAATCAATGAAAATTCAGAATGGATTACATTGAATGTTGGAGGAAAATATTTTACTACTACAAGAAGTACATTAACAAAAAATGAACCGATGAGTATGCTAGCCAGGTTTGAATATTTAATATTTTTCAATTATATGATTATACTTGTATTATGTAATGTAACAGTGAAATAATATTGATTGTCTTAAATTTTATTATAAATATAATTTTGTTTTATAGAATGTTTACAAGAACACAAAAGTCTGATTGTATGTTAAAGCCAAGTCTAAAAGATCCCAAGGGTGCCTTCTTAATCGATAGAAGTCCTATATACTTTGAACCATTATTGAACTTCTTAAGACATAACCTAATGATATTAGATTCTAATGTTAATGTAAATGGTATGATTCTTTTTTTATTAATCAAACAAATGCAAAACATTCCATGACTTATGACTTAAAGAAATGCATATATATATATCTTTTTTTTTCAATTTGCTATACATCTCTTCTTAGGTGTGCTTGCAGAGGCTCATTATTATGGGATGGAAAATGCTATATGTGTTCTTACAAAAATGGCCAATGAAAAAAATTCACCAACAGATGGTCTAATAACTTTAAGTCGCAAACATGTTGTGAAAGCAATCATGTCCACATCACCAACTTCAGAACTCAGATTCCAAGGTGTCAATTTTTCAGGTGCTGATCTTTCCAAGTTGGATCTTAGAAACATTAATTTTAAGGTTTGTTTACTGCAATAAAAATGAAAGTTTTTTACTATTATGGTATATTAAATATAAAATTATTCCTTTCAGTATGCTGTTATGGATTCTTGTAATCTAGCAGGTGCTAACTTATCAGGATGTTGTTTTGAACGAGCTAATTTATCTCATGCCAATTTCCAAGGTGCACAACTTTCATGTGTAAGAATGCCATGCGCCAATCTGGCTTCTGCAAATTTACGTTCATGTAACTTTGAAGATCCTAATGGTTCACCTGCAAATATGGAGGGTGCAGATTTTCGAGATGCTAATTTTGAAGGAAGTAATATGCCAGCAGTAAACTTGAGGGTGGCCACATTAAAGAATGCTATTTTACGAAATTGTGATTTAAGATCAGCTGTATTGGCTGGTGCAAATTTAGAGGTAAAGTAATGACAATTATTTTATTCACTTATATCATTATTACTATAATTAAATTTATATTGTAGCGTTGTGACTTATCAGGCTCAGACTTACAAGAAGCCAATTTACGTGGAGCAAATTTGAAAGATGCCACGTTTGAATTAATGCTTACACCCTTACATATGTCTCAAACCATTCGGTAACAATAAAAGAAATACTAATTCTTATAACTTTTTGCTTATTGTGATATAAATATGGTTTATATCTGACTTGAATGATATTTTAGTCAAGTAATATGAGTTGCAACATTGGTAAAATTTTTAATGATGTTATAAAATTAATATTTTATATCTATAATTCATTTAGGTAAAATTATTAAGTATTATTTGTATATTTTCATTTATTTTCTATTTATAAAATATTTATTAGAAAGAAAATTATTCAATACAATTTCTGACAAAAAAAAAAGAAAAAGAAATAAAGGAATTGTAATGAAAGGTAACATTTATCATAATTTTTTACTTTTATTAGGTAAAATAAAAATTGATAAACTGGAATTCATAAATTAAGTAAAAAAAATGTAATTTCAGTGGAATCTTATATGTGCTCTTTCTCTAGTTCTACTGCTGCTACATGCGTGCACTAGCACGTATATTATAAAATCAGATGTGCTATTACATTTTCCATAATAATGTATTTGATAGTGAAACAAATTAATTATTTAACATTAACTAAATAGGACTTATATAACGATTAATATATTTAATAGAAATATACTGCATGTTTAATTGAAATATATTTCCTATTACATATTATATAAAATACAGATTAGAAAAAACTTTAAGATATATTTTATATTTATCTGTGCAATAGAATTTACAGTCATTGAAAGTTTTTTCCATAAAAAATGCATTACGTAATTGTACTCTACTTTTGTACTGTTTATTAGATATAATATTTCGTTATAATACAAATATAAATTATACAAGATATAATACAAATATAAATGAAACATATATTCTTCTGAATAATTGTAAATATAACTTAATTACACTGATGTTCTTTTCATAATTATTACATGTATAACATTTAAACATGCAATGATATGAAACAACATTTTTTGTTATTTATTATGTCATTGTTGTATATGTCATTGTTGTATATATTTATAAATAATCACCAAGTCTCTTTGATTTTTAATGAAAATTGAAATTTTTTTAATCAAAAAGTAAAACAAATTTTATAATGCAAAAATAATAAGAATTTAATTTAAAAGAAACCACAAGTTCTTTTCTGTATCATTTTATTTTATATATAATTTTTCAGATTTTTCAGTCTGCTTAATCGGATTGTCAGATTAAAAAAAAAAACTATCGTTATATTATATATATTGTTATTTTACTTATTCTACCACTGATCTGTGCGCTTTTTTTTTTTAGGAAAATTTCTGCAACTTTATTTTTGGCAGTTTTTACAATTACTATGATAAAATACCTGTCAATGAAAATGATGATTTAAAAACTTAGATGGTTACAGTCACAGTAATATAATATTTCTTTCCAAGCAAATTTCATTCCACTTTGACTTAATTTTCAGTCAACCTACTTTCAACAGAAATACTGTCTTCTTGTATTTTTTCCTCTTTTTCTTTGGACATTGGCTCGTCTAAAGTAAAATTGGGCATAGCATCTATCAATGCTGATGTTTCATTGTATCCAATTCCAAGTAAAATGCGCTCTCGTAACATGTAATTCTCCAGTGGTCCATATTCACATTTACTCACCAATTTAAGTAGATCAGTTGTAAAAGCATCTATCGTTTCATTAGGCAGTTTTACTCTATTATTGAACTTCTGTCGTTCGACAATGACATGTTTCTTGACAGTAAAATATTTAGTAAATTCAGTTTTCACTTCTTCATAAGACATTTCTTTTTCAAAATTTGGCTTTAATTCTGTCATGAGTTCTTTTGCTATTGAACCCATTTTATAAAAAAGAACTTCTATCCTTTCTTTCTCAGATATCAAATTAAAATCAGCTATTAACTCCTCGAAATTTTGTATCCATTCCAACCATAATTCTGGTTTTGAAAAATCAAATGATTCACAAACAGCTAACGAATTTGGCATTATTTTGATGACTAATTCTTTATGAACGTTTTTCGTATTTTACTACGATTTATTTTAAATAGTTTTAATTATTCTTTGTGAAATAACCTTTTATTTTCTTCTTCGTATACTTTTGATGCACTACTGCGTTGTCTTAAATAACTAGATTTTCTTTATTTCAATAACTTTGACAATAGAGTGCCATCTTGAATTCTGTTTTATTTACTTGTGTCTTAAGTTTCTTTTCAGATCGTCGTCTTAATATATAGAAGAAAAGCACATGTGTCGCTGTGTGTTCATAAATGAGAATCGTTCGATAAAAGTTAATGAAAGTCTATCTAGTAACAGTATAATATCTATGGAAAAGATATTTCAACTCGATTTATTTTAACATATTAATTGATATCGATTGTAACATCGATGTATGATTAATCGAATAGAAAAGATCAATTGAGAATCCACTAATCCATAGTATGGAACTTAACCTAAACGCATTGTGCGTATACTTTTGAAGTGTAATATTATAAATTACATATTTTATCGTTTATACAAGTTTTATTTTGTATTATGAAAAATAATCAAATATTGTAAATATTTCAAAATCGAGAAAACGATTGATTGTGTCACAAATTCTATATAATTCTTGATTTATATATATTTGCAGACTGCATGTTTAATTTATAACTTTCACAGTTTTAAGAAACAATTTTTTTATTATAATGGTTGAAATGTTAGATTGGGAGTATGAAGATCCTCTCACAAAATTAAATACACAATTGAATAAATCTATGGTTTTAATTGAAAATGTGAATGATCATGCTCAGTCAAATAAAAGTAATAAAACTATTAAAATAAAAACAAAAAGTACTTCACCCAAAGGAAACACTTCTATGAATGGTACATATAGAAAAAGTATTCTAAAGAAATCTGAAAGTATAAATAATGAAGAAAGAAATGTCATGGAAAATGTAACAGACACTAGCTTAGAAGTAGCTGTTGAAATGACTCCAGATATATTAACAATTAAATCATCATCATCATCAAGACCACAAAATGTATATAAGTATTATATTAAACATTAAAACTAAGAAACAAATAATTTAATCTTAATAAATTATCATATTTTAGCTTCAAGATTTGATGAAAGAAGAAACTTTAACAATGGAATCTGCAAGCTCTTGTTTTAATTTTGATGATATATCTGATAGTGAAGATATCTGGATTATGGATATACCTAAAACAGTAAGATGTCTGACATATCGTATTTTAATTTTTGACAGTAAGTGATTTATATTTAAATATTTTTTTTTTAGATAGACCCACAAGAATTAATTGGACAGACCTTAGTATTAGGAGATAAATCAAAATTTAGAATTGGAGAAGAAAAATACTGTGCTGTTAAACGAGATTTGAAACAAGACATTACATGCGTGTTTGGTACCGGTAAAATAAACTCGCAATATAAAGCAGGTATTTATTTTATTTTGAGCAGTAAAAAAAAAGAACACGATTAAATATAGTATAGACTAATCATAACATATTTTATAGTTAATATAAAACCAGCAGGCTCTATAACAATTAGGAGAAAATTATCGAGTGTACCAAAAATTAAACCCATATTGTTAGAAAATTTAGGCGTTCCATTCCCTGAAAATTTGAAAACGCGCCATCCATTGTTAGGTGTTGTTTCTGAGAATAAATCCAAAAAAGTATTAAAAATGAGTGGATCGAGTAATAAGAAGAGAAAGTCATAATGATAACAAAATGACTACTATAATATACATATATGCCTCTTTTTTAAATATACAATATACAGTTTATATGCATAAATTGTTGAAAGCGACGTATTACCATGTAATTATGATCTAAGTATAATTAGTAAAGATATTGAAATGACGATTCTCTTAAACGATTTTTTCAAATTTATTATAACACATGAATCGATTCAAACAAATTTTCTTTTACATGCAAGAAATATGATCTTCGATCGGTTTTACAGGGATATTTGTTTGGCGTGATTGGTAGAACTGTAAACGCAAGTAACTAAAACAATTTTTGGGGCAAAGCGGTAAATATAAAAATCAACGCGTAACTGAAATACGTATAATGTTATGAAATTGACATATTCAAAAAAAATGTACGAAGTTGAGTATGATGTATTAAGTAAGATCGTCGTTACGTGGGCAAACATCAATAATAAAACGAAGGGCGCGTCGATACTGACCAATACTAAAAAAGACGCGTTTTACGTATTTATAAAGAGTAAATCCGCGTCTCCTCGACATGCGCTCTGACAATTCCTTCCCCTCCCTTCGTTCCTCACTTCGCTCGAGGTCCCTCTAGTAGTCATAGCGTGTAATGTCCGTTCCTGCGCGCTCGAGTTGCGCGTTCGACCAAATTTCGGGAAGCTTAGAAAAAAATTTTCCAGTAGAGAAAAGAGAGATTTCTTAGTGGAAAAGTTTAAGAACGTAAGTAAACAAGAAGAAACGAAAGAGAGAGATTCTAACATATGAGCGAATGTCACATACGCGACTAATCGAGAATCGGCGAGCGTTATGTGGGAAGACGCGATAATTGTCGACGCACGAGCTCCGTTGAAAAAGAAGTGATTATTCCTCGTAGAACAAAATTAAGGTTAAAGCGACTGTTCTTTCGATATCTTAAAAACATTCCTAGGATATCGAATGGCTACTACGTTAATCGAACAATTCGATCTTATGTGACGTATGCAACAAATTCTTTTTTGCTTGATGTTTGAAGGAAATAGAAAGAGATGGAAAGAAAACGAGAAACGAAGTATCAATCTATCTCAAGTCTTTTCATATTTCAGAAGACTTTCCCCCCGTTCAATCGGACTCTATTCGTGAATCATTCTTATTCGTGGACGGTGTTCTTATTCAATGTCAGTCCTATCCTTGTACATTTTTCGAAAGTTAAAACGTGCCAAGGGGAGTTGTAAAATCGACATAAAAGTCTGTCTCTCGATAGATCGAAAGAGAGACTGTGTGACTATCGTAAGTTAGAAAGGGATGGCAAGCTGTGGCAGCGAATGTCCTTTCTTTCTCTATTTCTACGTCCACTTCTCCCTCCTACTATTCCCACCCTCCCTCTCTTTCTCACTCTTTCCCTCCCTCTCTCTGTCTTTCCCCCTCTTTTTCTCTCCCTCTCTCGCTCTCTCCTCTCTCTCTCCCTTCTCCTCCGCCTTCTTCCTCCACGTCCCTCAGCGCCCCCTTTCCTTCCATTCGTTCTGTCTCTCTTTGCTTTCAACTTGTCTTTTTCCTCTTCAAGTCTGCATCGCGAAACGTTGAGACCGTCGCGTCCTTACGTATGCGAGAATTTTTGCAAACGAGGTTTCGCGAAATTTACGTGTCATGCCCCACCACTAAACATTTTCACGGATTTTCACGTAAATCCGTAACTATGATGGCGTAGTACCTCTCACTCGCACGCTAATGACGTTTCGTCGTTTCTTCTCAACGCCACCAACAGCTGTTTCGTCCGATTGTCGCCCTCTCGTACACGGTTTGTGTCTCGCAACGTATTACGCGAAGAAAGAAAGAAAGAGATAGAAAGAGAGAGAAAGAGCGAGATGGTGGACGAACGAAGGAAAGTCTCTCTCTTTCTCTTTCTTTCTTTCTTTCTTTCTCTCTCTCTCTCTCTCTCTCTCTCTCTCTCTCTCTCTCTCTCTCTCTCTCTCTCTCTCTCTCCCTCTCTCTCTTGCGGTGCTCTCGTTAACACTGCTCCTCCACTTTTGGTCTATCTTGTAGACTACCTTAAAACTACGTCACTAACGATTTCGATGTGCGCTTTCCTTATCGCTATGATTTTATAACCATTGTGTCGTTTAGTCCAAGTATTTCGCTAGCCTCTCCCATAATCTGTTGAGCGTCCTTTGTTCTACTCAACGCTCGCTTGTGACAGCTCCTGTCAAACGGAGACCAACCTTTCGATTTTTTGTTTCTGTCGCTTCAGGAACGATACCTCGTTTATATTTTATCTTAGAGACCATCGCGTAAGGATATATATATCTTTTCGATTTTTATCTCGCTGAGATACTTTTCAAAATCTACCCAGTCGGAATTGCACTATGCAGTGCGTTTTCCTTTTATTAAATTTTACATTAACTATTATTCCTATACAGGAATTAAACAATAGTCGTTTAAACGTTCATTATTTCGCAATTCAAATACTCCCATACGGGTGACGTAGTAGAGGGAAGACTTTTTTCTATAGATACGCCAACACTTTCCACGGCATTCGCCTTTTCGCGACTCGCCTCTCCGTCTTGATCAATTTTCTACGAGGTTAATCTGACGTGTCATCATTTTTTCCAGATTGTGCAAGGATATTAGAACATAAAGGAAAGTAGCAAAGCTTTGTTAATATCTAAAATACTGTGGAAACCCTTTGTGTATGTGCATTATCGAAAGGAGAGGTATTGCAGGTGCATTTTCAGTTGAAAGCATATTTCAACATTTTATTTAGTACAATGAAAAATATTTCATTGAATTTATACTAAATTACGAAGAAAACGGATAAAAGTTTATATATATATATATATATATATATATATATATATATGTATTTATATATATATACATATGTGTGTGTGTGTGTGTGTGTGTGTGTGTGCATGTGTGTGTGTGTGAGAGAGAGAGAGTGAGTGTGAGTATGAAAGTAAACTAGCAAATATTCTTTAATTAAATATATAATCAGTTATAATCATAATGTTGTCCTTTTACAGATCAAAAGTAGGAAGAAATACATTGTTAATTGTTGTGTTTTTTGGACGAACGTGGCTATAGCAAAAATTATGTCAGTATTGAATCAAAGTGGAGAGGATGCAGTGGAGTGTCCATTGTGCATGGAACTATTGGAGGTTGATGATTTAAATTTTTTTCCGTGCACATGTGGCTACCAAATATGCAGATTTTGTTGGCATAGAATACGTACGGACGAAAATGGCTTATGCCCTGCGTGCAGGAAGGCCTATTCTGAAAACCCCGCTAATTTTAAGCCTCTTACGAAGGAAGAAATTGCAAGGTATTCTTTATATGATTAACAAGCTATATCTATGTATATGCAGCAATTTAAATGATTTTCCTTTTTTTTTTTCTTTTTTTCTTTTTTTCTTTTTTCTTTTTTAGATTAAAAGCAGAAAAGAGATTGAAGGATCAACAGCGTAAACAAAGAGTTACAGAAAATCGTAAACATCTAGCGAATGTAAGGGTAGTTCAAAAAAATTTAGTATTTGTAGTAGGATTACCAATGCGATTGGCAGATGCGGATGTAAGTTTTTTCTATCGTAAAAAATATATAGTTATATCTAATTAATATGAATATTATATATGATAAGTAATAATAAAAAGTGGTAACAATAATAATTACTATAGGTATTAAAGAGACATGAGTATTTTGGGAAGTTTGGTAAGATTCATAAAGTTGTGATCAATCAGAGCACTTCTTATGCAGGGTCTCAGGGCCCTAGTGCCTCGGCATATGTCACCTATCAAGTATGTTTTATTTTTCATATTTATGATAATGACAATATAATATATTGAAAATTTGCTAATATCTAATGAATCTAATAACAGCGTCAGGAAGATGCTCTGCGTGCTATAGAGGCTGTGAATAATATTGTTGTGGACGGACGGACAATAAAAACGTCACTAGGTACAACAAAATACTGTTCACATTTTATGCGGAATCAGGCGTGTCCAAAACCAGACTGCATGTATCTACACGATCTCGGGGACCAGGAAGCTTCGTTTACGAAAGAGGAAATGCATCAAGGGAAACATCAGGAATATGAGCGCAAACTTGTGCAATCTTTACATGCTCATGCATCTGCATTACAGCGGTAACAATATACGAATTTATTGCTTTGATGACAGGTTAAATTAAAGTATATATAATAGAATTAAAATTTAACATTATTATTATATAGAAAACCAACACCATCACCACCTGTTACAAGTAGTATTGGTCGAGAAAATGGAACTACGAATTCACAAGCCAAGGAAGCATGGCCTTCGTTACAACCAGGACAAACGAATAGTAAGAATTTGTTTTAATAGATAATATTAAAATTGGAAATATTTATAGAGAATATATTTATTATTTAACATTGCAATTTGTGTTTAACGATATTTACACTTTACAGATACACAAACGAATTGTAAAGAATCATCACCACCTACCCAAACAACTTCACAGCAGCATAGCATAATTAATGGTAGCAGTCTTACCACTCAGCAAACGCATATATCATCTGGAGGTTCTATGCATCAACAGAATAACAATAATAAAGGGGAAAATGGTATGGGTCTACGCAGAGGCAAAAGTAATAGTGAAAGTAAGGCACAAGCAGCGCGAAATAAACATAAAAATTGTCAAAACAAAGAGAAACATAGCACTCGAACAACGTCACGTTCTGAATCAAGCTCAATTAGTGTACAAAATAATGTGCAACCACAAGTGAATGGTCAGAAGGATATAAGAAATTTTTCAGCTGAAACGAATAGTGATGTATTGCAGAAGTTAGGCAATAAGTGTAAGGTTGAACAACAGCAGCAGCAGCAGCAACAGCAGCAACAGTCTAACAAAATTTCTAAACCGGCGCAACAACCATCTAATGAACTTAAAATAAATGGTGTAATTCAAAATGGGGAACGACGACATTCGGATAGTGAAACAGATCAACAACGAGAAGGTAGTACACCAGCTAGTACAATTTCAAGTTCAGAAGATTCTAATGTAAATCATCAAGTGGAACAATTAGTGGAATCAAGTGAGGAGAACAATGGTGCTGCAATTTTAGGTGAGTTCCTTATACTCGTCGTCATTTCTTTATGTATCGACCTTTTATTTTTAAATTGAATTGATTAAAGCAAATGTACGTGTGCAGATAAATCAAAGATATATAAAAAGGTATAATTACAGTCAGGTTTTAATCTTTGATTTAAAAAATATATTATTTAAAATAGTAGTATAATGTGTTATAATGTATTATTAAAGTCATCTTTAAAATTTTAAATAATAAGATGTGATGCCTTGCCTGATTAATAACAGTTATAGGAGATTTATATAAAATACCTTTAGATTGAAGTAGCGTGTATACAAGTCTCATTTAAAAAATAGTGTTAATAGTTTTGTTATAAATGTTTTATAAATTGTTTTTAAATATACAAATATTGCATGATTGTAGATTATCTCATATATTTTCTCATCTGTTATAATATTTATAAATTTTTGCGTAAAAAAAAAAACATAAATAATTTTATAGTTATTAAAGTTGAACATTTCTATAAATATTACGATACATAGCTTTTCTCACTGTGTAATTATCAAAAATTAATACAATGTTATAAGAAAATATATATATATATATACATTACAATGCATAAGTAATTATGTGAGAATAGATGAAATATTTATAATGAGTTGCAAAAAGTTCAGATTGTGAATTTTGAATTAATATAGATATTGATATATGCCAAAATAAAGAGAATTCTTGAAAACGAGAAGTAGCTGTTTGTTGTATTTTTGTATACACTTAATTTTATCCTTTTTACAAAATTTCATAAGAAACATAAATTTATACAACACTTGCCCAGAAGAACGTTTATCTTTGTGTATCTTCTTTAATTTGTATAAATTAAAGAAATTATGAGTTATATGAAATACACACACACACACACACACACACACACACACACACACACATGCATATATTTCAGCACTTATTGGGAAAAATTAATGGCAGTGATAGGTATTACTTCAACAGATTTAGTATTAATTTCTGGGTATGTGTATGTATATTTTAATTTTGGTGGCTGAGAGGTTATTAGAAGCTGTTTATTCTGGCATTCTGATAATCAATAAATAAATGACATCTTGATCGCGTCTCGTAGTGTAGCGCTATGTGCGTATCGTGTCTAGGTTCATCACCAGCTAGCACAAACTCATCGCAAGGTGCCAATCAACAGCCACCACCAGGGCTGCATAATGGGTCTCAAATGCAACTTAATCACCGGTCAATCTTTCAGGCGGACAATAATAGTTTCTTCAGTACAAATACCTTCCAGAAAATATCTACAGCCGCCTCAGTCACATCCAATTCCTTGGCAGGCATGTACAATAAATTTTTTTCATTAGAGTTATCATAAATTTATTTATAAAACTTGTAATAAATATCATTTGTAATTTTATACATTAATTATTTATTTTCTTCATACGTTTTTGTTAAAATAAAATCTATTTTCTTTTTTTGTATTTAGGAAATACAAATTTGGATTGGCCGAGTACGGGCTTGGCTTCCATTCCTGATTCTTTACCAACAGTTCACTCAAGTGAAGATTGGCAAGCAGCATTTGGTTTTCATCCTGAATCTACGCGATCAAATCACATTGTACGAAAGATTAGTCCTTCCAATTCACCACGAGTAACTTTCAACTCTGAAGACTTTGCAGAAGAGGAAGTGTATAGTAATTCGCAGTATAATGCAATCTCAGAATCCTCAGGCACCTTTGCAACTAATATACTTATTAATTCACCTGCATCTAAATTTATGGCAGACTTCCAGCAAAATTCATTACAACAAAGGCTTGCTATGCAAGTTAGTGATTGTATATTTTTTATATTTTATGAGATGTACTGACTCTAGATAACTAACTCTAAATTGAATATTTCAAAGGCACAACAAAATCAAGAAAATTGTGAATATATCAAACAAAACGGGCATGCAACTTTAAAAGAAGTTCAAAATCATCATGAATCTGGATCTGATGTAAAAGCAGACGACGATTTAGGCTTTGATCCTTTTCATGAAACGCAAAAAGCACTTGCAGAGTTAATGGAGAATGAAATGCAGTTACAACAACAAAGATTATTTCAACAACAACAACAGCAACAACAACAGAGAGAACGAGAAGAGCAAAGCAGGGTACAACATCAACAAAGTCTTGCTAATCTTGGTCAGCAGCACTTTCCACAGGTGAAAAAATTTTAATGAATAATCTACAATTTCTTTATAATATATATATATATATAATATATATATATATATATATATATAATTGTAATGAAAAGTTTTAAAGAACATTACAATTTATATACATATATATAGATCTGTAAAATATATTTAACAAATATGATAAAATTATTTGAAGTTAATTTAAATAGATAATTATCATCCTAGGTTGCACATATAGCACATCTACAGCAACAAGCGCAGCACTTGCAAAATTTGCAAGTTCTTCAACAATCGCATTCCCTCCTGTCTCGTCTTCCGCAGAATCTTCTACAAAGTGGCACACAGAGTCCTGCTCAGAATTCTGTAACAGCTGCTAGTCTGGCACAGCGCAGTCGTCTCCCTCCGCCAGGTTTCCCTGGCGCAACCCCAAATCACATGAACTCTTTCGGTCTTGGTATACCGCGGCCTGCCCCTACAAACAATGCCCTCACGGGTTAGTGTTTCTCCAATTTTTCCAACATCTGGAATCATAGCCCACAGTGCGTGAATTTACATACGTATGAATACATAATGTCTTCATAAAATAAATAATACATTTTGTAAGTTTAATGGTAAGCATAGCAGCAAAAAAAAAAACAAAAAGAAAAGGAATTAAAAATGTATATATAACAAAGAATTATTTAATTTAGTTGTAGAATATTATAATATAATTTCAGATTGAACATTTTCAAAATATGCATTTCCAAGGTTACGAATAATTAATCAATTTGGATTATATTAAACTTCTCCTTTTTAAAATACATTGAATATTTAACTAAATATTTAAGCACTATAAACATTGTTTTATCAGTCCAATTTCATTCAAAATTGACTTTTATTGTGTACACACATTTATCTGAAGATAGTAGTAAAATTGTATTCATAAATGATTCGTCTAGTATGTTATTTACAGGAACACAGCCATCACAGCAAAGTGCGTATCTTCCAAATGGAAATCCTCTACTCAATACACAAGGTAAAATTTTTTCTAATTTATAAGCATGTAATTTTTAATGTATTTTATTAAAATTTTCTTATTCTTACTGGAGTAGGTATCGGTAAATGCGCAGGCGATACTGTTTACACATTAAAAGATTGGTGTGAGATAAGTAGCCAACAACAACAACAACAATTTCATCATCAAGCATTACATCAAAAAGGGGGATGGAACAACTTTGGGCCTATTGCAGACTGGACTTCAATTGACCCAGCTATTGTTAGTTCATCTAGGCCTCTTCCATTCCAAACTACTAGCACGTGGCAATTTCCACATGTACATCCTTCTCACACAGTATCTCACAATGCGCAACAGGTTACGCAGCTATAAATATAATATGTCAAATTAATTATTATAAATTCTATATGTGTATAGTATATATATATATATATATATTTATGTATGTATAATATTTAATATATGTACCGCTAATTATAATGAATAATTTTATTTTATAGGAACAGAACGCACCAGCTCAGCATTGGGCAATGCAACCACCGCCAGGCTTTGCTGCGCCTGCAACTACAGGGCAACTAAGTAATCAACAAGCAAGCACAGCTGCACAGCCGCACACCAAACTTATCTCTGCAGGATCAGAAATTGAGAGTATGTTTAATTCTCGTTTATAAAGTATTTGTTTAAAAAAAAAAAGTCATATGAATATATATATTTATATTACAGATTTATAAAGATTACAAACACACCAAGTCTACAAATGACGTGGTGAAATATTCGTATCTGATGAAATGAAAGCTGGCAAAGAAATTAAAACGACAGTCTGTAACGTATGTTTTCTTTAACATGTGTTTACATTTGCCTTCAGCTATTGTATAGTTGCTGCAGTCTTACTGTAAAAGCATTTCTTATGAGAAACAAAAGAAATAGTATATTTTGTTGTGAATAATATGGAAAAGTTCTGAAAAATATTTTTTTTCCTGATATTACTAAAAAATCGAATATATATTAAAATTTTAATATTAATTCTATTATCATATGTCAGATCTTAAATACACTTATGAAGCAAACCATAAGTAATTTAATAATTAAAATAATCCAAATATTTCTAAGAGCATATTACAATTTTCACCAATTTCATTTACATTTTAATTGTTTTATTGTAAAAGTATAATATGTTTTGAAAAAAATTATCGGTTCTTATTAATTGAAGCTTATCAAAATGAAAGTTGAACAGAAGTAGTATACACATCGACTTCGAAAGAGATCAATATTTCTTTATTTGAAATATTATTATATATATATATTTGCATATTATTATGTGCAATTCTCTTTCATTATTTCATAGATTTTTGATTAATATAATGGAGACATGGATATTCAGATATGAGCCAATGAGCGATTTATAACTTGATTGAGTTATAAAAATACGTTAATTTAATATTTAATTAAATGTCAGACCTATCAGCTTTATTATAAGTGGTATAGGATTTGTAATCAATGTAAAGTTAATTTATAATCGCATACATAAAGTCATATTAAAAGAAAGATGCAGTAATAACATTATCTTGAAGGATTAAACAAAATTTTACGTGTGCGGAATATAGAAAACTACGGTGCGACTGTCGAGAAAATTAATATGAAAGGGCCATATCTCAGATCACAGGTGTATAAATACGAACTCAATAATACCTGAAATGTCTGACCGATAGTAATACAATACAAATTGCTATGTTGAATGGTTTACTTTAACAGCAGATTGTGTTAAACATCTGCTGCCTTAACGTGAATAACACAACACGATACATATACAAGAGAATGATTGAGATAATGAACATATGATTATTATAAATTTAACTGATTTAAGGTAATCAAGAAATATACGATATGCGCAAAAAATGATTACAAACATGATATTCAATTTTCTACATCCTCCTGCTTCCTTTATATCCATATCATGTATTGTGCTCATTGATTTTCTTATAATTTTTTATGTATGTATATATATATATATATATATGGATATATATATATATATATATATATATCCATATAGTCTTTTTAACATGTATATAAAGTATCCATATGTATATATACACAAAATACGTTGCGTGGTAGAATATTTATTTACATTACATGTAGTAAAATTATAAATATTATATTTTCTACATGTAAAATTTCATTTATAAAAAAAAACTACACACAATACAGTGACATTAAATTTGATTTTATTTATTTCTTAATATATAAATAACAAAATATCTTATTATATATATATACACATATATATATATATATTTATATATATATATATATATATGTATATATATATACATATACGATATATCACCATTCATTATCTTGTATACACAGATTGAAATTTTGTATATTTAGGAAATAACATGATATACAATCTTGTATGTATTTGTAGAATAGCAATGTGAAAAGACCATTATAATTAATAATCTATATATTGGTTATGAAAAGTAAAAAAGAGGTTACTTTCCATATATATATATAACGGTTAATCTGAATAATATAATCGTAAAACCATGATCTATCTCGGATTTTATCCACACAATATTTACACTCTATTACAGCAAGTCTTTACTAAACGTGACGTGTATACATATTCATGCACAGAAACAATTGTTAATATCATTCTGTCAAAGTGCATTCTACCTTTTACATTCTTTAGGGTTCTTATTGATTTCATTTTAAGATGTATTAACACAACTAAGCAATAAGTTTTACTACAATGATAATTACTGCAATAAAGCTATAGTATATCAATGATTTGTATGAAATATAAAAAATTTTCTCAATTGCCAATTGGGTTGGCGTCGGTATCTGATGTATCATCTACTTTATTATTTGTTCTTTTTTTTAAAGCCCTACGAGTTAAGCCCCAAAAAACTTTAGGTTTCAAATTATTTTTTACTGCTGTATATTTCCAACCCACATGAGAAAAACAGATATTACAACTTGCTGTTGTCCAGGCATATCTATAGAAACAAATAAATTATTTATAAATAATGCCATAATTTTTAGTAAAAAAAAAATTATATTAAATATTTATCTCCTTACCCTGGAAACCAACTATAATCCGTTGAATATGTATCCATATTAAGCCTTAATCCTTCTGCATGGTAGACAGTTATTGTTTCAAATATAACACCATAGCCATTACAATACGTACTTTGAAGGCCATCCTTACTCATTGGAAACATATTTGATTGATGGGTCATGAAATTATCACAATGTATACAAACAAATGATCTATCCTACAAAATATAAGTTCTCTTCAGCATATTAGTTCATATGAACACACTTTCTGTGCTTCATATTTTTATATATAAATTTCATTATATTACCTCAATAAGAAATTTTATTTCTCTTTGTAACCTTGCAATAGCACAATCATAATTTAATAAATCAATTCTTTCATCATCATCAATTAATACATTTTGTGCAACCCAAAATGATAATTCAATTGGATCTTTAGGTATGTTACAACCTCCTACAAAAGTATTAATACATTTAATAAAAGAATAATATTTTCAAATAATTGGAACTGATTATTTAATTAAAAATACTAACGTTTTTCAAGAAATTGTAAATGATGCTGTATTTTCAAAGACAATCTCAAAGGATCATACTGTTTATATACCCAAGATGGCCATGGAGTTATCGTAGAATCTATTTTTTCAACAAAATCTTGCTGTTTCCATTCTTTTTGAGTAATCGGTCGTATTCGTAAATAATCTAATGAAGTTAAACGATAATCCAAGAATGGATGTTTCAAAGTAACTTCTGGTAATATTTTAACATTTGCAGAAACTATATCATAGCCCTAACATATATGAATATATCTGTATTAACATATTTGAACGTAATCTTCTGCTATGTAAGTATTACATATGGATAAAATATTGTTGTTAATGTAACTTCACAAACCTTCATTATAATACATATTATTTTGAATCGCTGTCTACCCTTGGCTTTTAATCGAAAACTTCTTCCTATTAGATCACCATCATAATATTCATAAACTTCAGCTGTTGTACCTACACGTACCGTCTTACCATTGTTTGAACATATGACACCAAATATATGATCTCTTCGAATGCAGGTTTGTAACACATTAGTAATTTCTATACTTTCTGAATTAATTGGTAATGTTTGTCCAGGAAATAAAATAATAGAATTCTTAATTAACAATGGCAAATTCTTGTAAATTCCATCATCTAGCAATGTTCTTCCTCTGAGTTCTTTTAAATTATTCCCTAAGTACTATTAACATACAAATGATGATATATTGTTTCTTTTAAAAAGAAAAAAGAAAAAGAAGAAGAAAAAAAAGAAACAACTTACAGAATGTGTAGTTGGAAGGGCCAAATCAAAAGTATTCTCAAAAGGTATTGTTACTTCTTCGGGTTCATCATTTTCTGAATAAAGAAATTGCAGAACAAAAAAGTTATTACACGAATATTGATATAATATTTAATGAAACAAAGAATATCACAGACGTGTATCATTATTTTTAATATCAATCAAAATCAATTAAATTAAGGTAAACGATATTAAAAGAAAACTAAAGAATAAATTATTAAAGCATTATTTATCTACGAATTTGGAAAATTTAATTAATAATCATAAATAAAATAAAGACATATACGTATGTATATATATATATATATATATGTGCACAAACACACATATATGTACATATGTAAATTATCAATATCAAAGATTTTAAAAATAATATACCCAATACTTGAAAATCGTCTGAATCACTGGAACTTTCTCTGATTGCAAGATCCATTGTACTCGTCGATTATATCGCTTACAACAGAGGCTAGAAAAAATGAAAAGAAATAAAACAATGAAATATTAGACAATAGATATTTTTTTATCGAAAAAGTAGAAAATTTAACGTAGAAGGGTTATGTATGTGTTTACATATTATCATTTACTTCGACTGCATTCAACGGGAAAATATTTGGAAGTACTTGTTAGGTGGCAGTAGAAATATTCCACTAATGTAATCAAGTTTTATAAAGAGCTTAATATATGTATATGATATGCTAAACTATATTGTATATATGGATAAGAATCAAAATAGTTGACATTGATGTTATTGCGAATACGCAAAAAGAAAATCATATATTTTATAGAAATATCTAAACACTTTGATCACGCCAATCAGAATTTGTCGTTTATTGAATCGATTATTGTAAAATATTGATCGATTAAAAATAAAATTGCGTTTCGTTAATGTCAAATGTCACTTGTAATAAACGCTTTAAAAAAAAAAAAAGAATTAATAGATCAAATATTTACATTAGAAATGGCACGATTCGTTGTTTCGTAAACGTGTAATGAGGTTGACTTTCTAGATATAGATGACTTGTTTAGGTAAGATTATTTAGCACAATATGGCCGTGGCCAGTAAGTCGGTGTGTTTTTGTCATCGTAAAATCTTCGACAAAACGGCGGGAATGATTTTTATTAATTAAAACGTTTATCACTGTGCATTAATAATGAATGGATTGATCACAAAAAGGATAAATAACGATGATACGTATGGTATAAATGAAAAAATTCGTATAAAATACAAACAACACTTGTTGGACGATCGAACATTGAAACAGGTGGTGTACGTCAAACAATTATTAATAAAAAAATTTAATTTATCGAACGACAGAAATGTTTCAAAAAGAAAAAACATAAAATAGAGAAGTAGACGTATATATATATATATTCTCAGGAATTATTTTCATGAAGAAACATATTATTTTTATCTGTAAAATGGAATTGATATTATCGAATCGAAAGATAATAAAAAAATTCGATGGATAACGAAATAATGAATGAGCGAATTATATGAAATATTTGAGATTTTATCATTTAATTAATTAAATATTCATCGATCGAAGGGTACAAAAGATATGTCATTGTGCATTGTAAATTATTGCAATGTAGGATTAAGGAATAGATACTTCGGTGATAAATGAAGTTAAAATATATCTGAATTATTATGGAAGCTGTATGGAGGAGCTTCAAGTTCAAATATATTCTTATTTGTATCTTTCTTACCTTCATCATGTCCTGCTTAATAAGTATTGTTCCCATCAATATTGGTAAATATATTACTTATTAATATATATTCAATGTGAAAAGGAAACATTAATCTATTTCATTAATATTATAGACGAATGTAAATGCGAGAATGATGTTTTGATTAAGCAATACAATACTCATAAACAAAATATTAAATTGCATAAAAAGTCTGAAAGATCAAAGTACAAGTTAGCTATTCTTGTACCATTTAGAGATCGTTTTGATGAATTATTAACATTTGCAATACACATGCAAGAGTTTTTAGATAAACAAAATATAAACTATCATATATTTATATTAAATCAGGTAGATCATTTTAATAAAATTGAATTATTTAAATTTTGTGTTGAAGAATCATTTTAGAACTATTTCGTATGTTGCAGTTTGATAGATACAGATTTAATCGAGCTTCCCTTATTAATGTTGGCTTTCTTGAAACTAGTAAAGATTTCCATTATATAGCCATGCATGATGTTGATTTATTGCCATTAAATGACGAATTATTATATGTATATCCTAGTAAAGGTCCTTATCATATATCATCTCCAGATTTGCATCCTAGGTATCATTATTCCACATTTGTTGGTGGTATATTACTTATTAAAAGGTAATTATAGATTAGATAATTTCATTATCTAATGAATATTTATTATTGGAAAATACAAAAAATACATTGACAAATTTACAAATTTATTATCGAAAAATAATGTTGAATTTTTAAAAATTCATGTTTTTTTCTTTTCTCTTTTTTTTTTTTTTTTTTTAGAGAGCATTACATGCAAGTTAATGGTATGTCTAATAAGTACTGGGGTTGGGGCCTTGAGGATGATGAATTTTATGTTAGGTTGAAAGAAGCTGGCTTAACTATTACTCGGCCTCAAAATATATCCACAGGAACACATAATACATTTAAGTATGCTTCAATATTATATTATAAATGATAAAATTTTGAATTTCTATGTTATGTATAATACTAATTAATAGACCTTACTGATAAATGTCATTATGTTGTTATTTCAGACATATTCATGATAGAAATCATAGAAAGCGTGATATGATGAAGTGTTATAATCAGCGGGAAGTTACTAGAAAAAGAGATAGAGAAACTGGTTTAAGTAATATCTCATATAAAATAATAAGTAGAATTAAAATGACAATTGCAAACACATCATTGACTGTACTCAATATCTCTTTGATGTGTGACAAGTCTAGTACACCTTGGTGTGAATGTGATAAAACTAGTGTTTCGAAAGATGCAAAACCAAAAGAGAAAAAAAAAATAATTAATAATAATACTAACAACGATAATAATAATAATAATAATAATAATAATAATAAAAACAAAGGTAAATCCGATACAGCATTGTAATTATATTATTATTGTACTAAAAAGAAATTACAAATCCCATTACAATTATATTGAACACTGTGTTTTTTATAATTTGTATCTTTAAAATATAATGAAGTTTTGTCCATGCAGAAGAGGAAACATTTTTATTTAACTTTTAATCGGAAAATTTTAATTAGAAAGTTATCTTTTATGTATCAAACGTTTAGATCAGTTAACTATAACTTACATGTTTTATACAAGGGATACAATAATATAACATACAACAGATGATCTTTAAGAATATCAATTTAATTAACTAAGATTCACTAATCAAATGCATATTTATCATACAGGCGACATAACATGTAAATTTTATACTGTTTGTACACATTATTTACATTTAAAATTATTCTCATGATCGCATTTTACAATAAATAATACTCACAAATGCTTAATGGTTATTATACAATGACAAGGAACAAAGTGTTCAAATATTAAAACCTATGTTTCCATACATCTAAATCTGCAATGAGTAAAAAAAGAGAAAATGAATGATTGAATATTATATATATATGTGGCTACATGACAGCACTCAATTGTTCCATAAAATGTTTCTTAAGTTCATGCGAAGTAAAGTCATCACCATCATTATTTTCATTAAAAATATCTTGAACTGTTCCAGTTATTGTTTCTGTAGTATTTAAATCTGTTGGTTTATTATCTGATTCCAATATATTGGTATCTTTTATATCTACTTCTGTTTCATTATTTAAACGTTGTACATCTTTTATTAATGGTTTCTTTTTAATATCTTGATTTGTTTCATCATTGCTTTGCCCTTCTGACAAATTAGTATTAAGAAATTTTTTTAAAGCTGTTAATGGAGGTAAAGGAAAACCATAGTCAATCAATTTAATATAACCATCCTTTCCACAATCTTTCCTAATTGTTACAGCTGTTTTTAAAATTTTTTCTGAAAATTCTCCTTTACCACTATCAATTAGCAATTCATTGAACCAACTCATTTTTTCATCTAATAACTTTTTTCTCCTCATCACTGTTTGCATATTTAACATCTTTCTTCTATAAGTATTCGTATTTTTTTCTGCCCTTTCAAGATATTTAGAGGCTTTTTCTAACTTCCAATTCAATTCTTTTATCTGATCATCTTTTTGTTTGATGTGTCCTTCTAATTTTCTTTTTTGTTGAGATTCTAATGTCATAGTTTTCATTAATTTCTTATTAACTACCTCTAAATAATTCACCCTATTTGATAAATCTTCAATTAATCTCTGTTTTGATTCTAAACTTTTTTTATTACTAATTAATGACTGTGTAGATACTGCTCTTGTATTTAATTTATTTGTTAACATTTCAACCTCCTTTGTCTTATTTTGTAACAATTTACTTTGTTTCCTTAAATTATTTTCCATTCCTTTAAATACAATTAATCGATTAGTTAATTTCTGAATGACTTCTTCTTGCATTTTTGATCTCTGCTGCAGCAACTCATATTCACAAGATATGTCATGTGCAGTTAATTTTCCTAATTGTTCCATTTTATTAGTACTATAATTGATTGTTTGAGAACTATTACATAAATTAAATATCTTTTTCTCTAATGGTGTAGAATTTGTAGAAAGATTATTTTTCTGAGAACCACTAACCGATTCTATTTTAAGATTAACTGTTTCAGTATTATTAGTGGATACAGGGTTTCTTCGTAAAAAGCAATCTTTATTTTTTATTGTAAAATCTTCGTGATTGTTACATAATTCTTTTGTAACATTATGTAAATTTATAGGATAATCTTTCAGCTTTATAACAGATGTAACTATAGTTCTATGATCATGCTTTTCACAAGAATTATGAACTTCTTGAAAATTATGATTTGCATTATCTTGTGTTGTTAGCTCTTGAACAATATCACATACATCATTAGGATCACCAGTTATTTTAATCGTAAATTCTGTTTTTTCCATTTGTCCATGATTATTGTTAGTTTTTGTATTTCTTTTGTCATTGGTTTTCATATCAATCCCCGTATGTTTATCTGTATTGTTATCTGAAACATCACTGTTATGTGTAAAGTTGATGTCTTGTTCGGAAGTACTACCAATTGATTTTTTTATGGACTTCATTATCTCTTCTCTAGTTCTTCTTTTACGTTTCATGGCTGCTCTCATATTTGGTATAACATGTACTTCATCCTTACCAAAATTTTCCTCAATGTCTTCATTATAAACTTTTTTCTCTTCTTTGATACAAAGAATACCATCTACATTTAATACAGAATCTGTAATTTCATGAGGATTTGTAAATGAATTACTAATGCATGAAACAGACTGAGAATTATCCACTTTTTCATCTCCACTTTCAGTACCAAAAATGATTTCAACATTTTCTCTATTATCAATAAGAATATCACCTATTTCATGCTTTATAGGTTCTTTGTAATCCATTCCTGTTGCTGAAAGAATTTTATTATTGATATCGTTTAAACTTATTTCCGTACTTCTTTCTGTATCATCTTGTTTCTTAGTGATACAATTAATTCTATTATTTTCTGAATAATCTTCATCATTCATACTTCTTCCATCACAGATTTGTTTCAATTTTTCTTCTATATCATCGTAATTATCTTCAAATTTGCCGCTTGTATTTTCAGACTTAACTTCTGTTTTAACATATAAATTTTCACTATTATTTAGTGCTAGGCCTTGGTCACCATTAGTGTTGCCACTAATTTTATCACTTTCATTTATATGCGACATAGTATTATTTTTTTTCATAAAATGATCTGTTTCTGTGTGACATTCATCTGAGACTAGAATTATACCATCTTGAGCATTGTTAGCAGCCACATGATCTTGTATATGATCATCATAATTATTCCTAATTTTGGTCATTTGATAAACATTATCGTGAGTTTCAAATGCCAAAGATTGAGAAATTTCATCTGTGTCTTGAAAATCAGAATCTTTTCCTTCAATATTCCCAGTTGAAGAACATTCTGTATCAATTTCAAGATATTCCATGTTTTGACTACTTTGACAATCCTTTTCCTTTTTTGTATGAATTAATTTCTTACGTTTTTTTGGAGACTTTCTAGTCGACGTTACAGTGAAAATAGAAGGTATAGCATTTTTTTTTAACCTTATCCTACCACTTTGTGTAATAGACCATTCTTGTGGTTCAAAATGTACATGACAAAGAAAAGAATTGTTTGAAGGCTTCCAATCTGCCCTAGCTACACGCTCTTGCCAAATCTTTCTTAATTTGGGATCACGAGGAAAACATTTCATAATATAGCCTTTCTCACTGCGATTATTGCAGCCAACTGCTGCGCAACCAGGCATTTTTAAACATCCAAAAATATAGTTGATTTGAAGATAATTTACTTGCAAATAGCCTACAAAGAATATTTAAATAAAAATTTAGTATCTTTAGGAAAAATTATATATATATATATAGGCACATACACACACAGAGATAAATCATTACCGAATCATTATAAACTATTGAGTCCTTTTTCTTTTGTGTGTGTAGAATTTTTTTCTAGTAATATAATAAACAGATGATGTACTATCAAGTAATTTTATGTAATTAAACTTTGTACACAGAAACTCGTTTACACATTTTTAACTCCACCATGTCAAATGAATAATAAACATTACGTGATACGTGTGATCATTTATCGATAAATTAACACGTCTATTATTATATTTGATTTTAATAATGCAACTTACATGGTTATTTAACCGTATAAATTATTTAACAAGATTTATCTTAACATAGGACGCGATCCAGTCGGCAGTCAATTATGTTGACATAAAAGAGAAGCTACCAACAAAGTGAACACTTAGATATACTCACAGTTCTGAAATCTTATTATTATATTTGTTCGATAAAAATAGAGTATTTAGAGTCTCTATTTATTAATTATAATTTGATAGTACTGTTTAAAGATTTTCATAATTAATTCGAAAGGTTAAGGAACTTGAAAATTCAACGCGCAAATTATATATCACCGAGTATCGTCGAGCGAAGGGTAACGTTAGATTTCGATAATTTATCGATAGTCTATACAAGCTTACTATCGATAACGTAACGCGATATACTCGAAATTTTATCGATTTATAACGCGAAAAATAACACATACATTTTTAATTTCATATGAATCGTTTTATTGCTGATTGTTTATTCCTTACAGTAAATTTATTTGTTTGATATTACAATTTGTATCTTTCTGAATATATATATATATATATATATATATATGTATAATAACGTTAACACGATATTCAATGGTTTTTCTCTTCCCTCCCCGCCAGGGTTCTGTTCATTTCAAAGTGCATATACCAAATGTATATACATATATATTTTATAGTTATAATATAGGAACATGTTAGATACGAATTAAATTCAATTTTTTTTTCTTTTTTCTTAAAAAATATCGATAATCAGATTTTGAACGTTCATCGTTTTACAAGTTTTTCTAGTTATTTTTTATCTTGATTCGAAACACCGTTAAAACACGTGCTTCCGGTGTTATATGTAAGCAGCGCCACTAATTCTAGGGAAAATGATTTGATTGAGTCCGTTTTGTAATTAGTTACATGCAAAGGTACGATGGCTAAATATTTAATACAAATTATTATAACTGGAACGCAAGTTATCGGTAAAGCTTTTATACGAGCAATACGTCAAGAATTAGCAGCAAGTGAAGAGGCTGCACGTAGAGCCGGAGGAGGTGAAAGAGGTGCACGACATGCAGCCACTAACCTACGTACAGGCATGACTTTGAATGAAGCATTACGTATTCTTAACGTAGAACGACCTGATCAAACGGACCTAATTGAACAAAATTATAAATATTTAATGGAGGCAAATGACAGATCCAGAGGTGGGTCATTTTATTTACAATCTAAAGTTGTCAGAGCTAAAGAACGCATCGACGAAGAAATGAAATATCAACCACCATCTCCAAATATAAATTCAACTAAACAAGAAGCTTCTAAAACGTTCTAGTATACTTACCTATAAATATAAATTCTTCTACTGAATTCTAGGAATCTGTACATATTATGATATATAATACCATTAATAAATACTACGAACTCTGTGATTATTTGAAATAGAGATAAACACAGTAGGACTTATTTTTTTGTTTGTCATACAGAAGATATTACCTTTTAAATAATTGTAATCACTTATAATGAAATTCTAAAAGGTTATTCTATTTTACATGATACATACATAAATATTTTTCAATGGAAGCCTTTTTTCTTTCTCTCTTTTTTTTTTGTTTTTGCTTTTTTTTGTTTTGTTTTTATAGATATCTATATAAATAGTTTATGAATATACAAATACCTCAAAAATCATGGTGTTTTTCATAAAAATACACCAACGTTAAATTTAGTGTGTATTAAAAAAGTAAAAATTTTCTCTATTTATAGTTAGACAATATTTAGAACTTTATATGAAATAATTTATATTCAAGAGATATATTGTTTTCTTGATAGTCTTTTTGATATAAGTACTCGCTCTTATACGAATACTTTCAGGTACATTTGTAAAACCTTAATATATTAATCCTGCTACCTTTGCATCTTGGGGATCTATTCTATTTTGTGTTTGACGAATAGTTAGTCGTTCTTGATTATGCCTTACTGACCACAAATTTGGTAAATGTTGTGGCTTCATGGTGGTTAGAAAATGTTCTCTCCAAATTCTTTCCAATTCTACAAGACCGCCTTCCCTTTCTTCAAACCATTGAACTACCTGTAATGTATAATCATATATTATTTAATATTAAATTCATTTTATTCATTTTTATTTTTATTTAAAAAAGAAAAAGAATGTACTTTTAAGCCATGTGGTTGTTGTTTTGATTGATTAATTGATGAAGACAGAGCACTTTTCAATTCTTCATCCAATGAATTAAGCAGATTTGGAGTAATTTCTTGTTGTCCTGCATATTCTAAGATAATATTTGTAAGTTCTTCTTGTCGTTGAAGTGGTAACATTGGTTCATTACGTAAAGCTTTAATAGCACAATGTAATTTTTTCCAATTTGTATGAGTAAGTGGACCTGCTAGAGGAGCGTTGCACATATCTGCAAGCTTTCTTCTGAGCTGCAGATCATGACTTTTGCTATTCTCATGACATGTTGGACACAATAATAATACATCGTGAGATTGATGAGCTTTCATTACCACTAGAAAAGATTTTTTTGTATATAAATATTTTGTTATATATTATTAATGTAATATATTAAATATATTTATTTAAGTGCAATAAATTTATACAAATTTATTGCACTCATACATTTTTGTACCAGTTTGATAACTTACATGGGAAATATTTGCGATATTCTCTTGGTACTACATTTTTTCGAATAAAGTTTTCTGAAGCACCACAAACAACACATTGATTAATTTTGATTTGTGTATAATATTGACCAACTTCTCCTAATGCACGTCCAGATGGTTCAAATTTCAATCTTACTGTAAAGGGTTGTTCTTCAACAACATCTGCTAAATTTTTCTTTATATACCACTCTGCCTTTTTACGGTCACATGTACACAATATATCTCCATCTGGTGCTTGTAAATAGCAATTATGATATAATGGTTTTTTCCTTATAGGTATATTACTTTCATGTTCATTTATATTTAAACTTAATCCTTCGTTAGTTACGATATTATTTATAATATTCTTGTGATATTTATTAATACCATTGTTATTATTGGAAGTTATATTTGTTTTGTGACCCTTGAACCTTGAACATGTATTATCAATAAATATTTCTAATAAATAGTCAAATACATAATATTTGTATATAATATTTTATTTGTAATGTTTTTGCTTTTTAGATAATAAGATTTACCACCTCATATCAATTAATCCCGCAGGTAAACCATGAAATTTCATGGCATCATCTTTAAACCAAATCTTCCATAAATATATCACAAATTTCTCAACTAATGATAATTTTTCTTTAGCTTCTCGCATTATCTGTTAAATTAAAAAAAAAAAAAAAAAAAAAAAAAAAAAAAAAAAAAAAAAAAAAAAAAGAAAGAAAGAAAGAAATTATAATTTATATAAAATATATATAAAAAAATATTTTTACCTGATGATAAATAAGAATTGATGCCATGGCATCACAAGCAGCATAAGCTACTTGATCGTCAGAAAGAGTATCCGCATCCCAATCACCACATCTCACTTCTATTAATTTTTCTATTTTTGTACCGAGATATTCTAAACACATTGCTGCCAAACTTTTAGGAGTAGGAAGTTGAAAGCACTCTGCTAATCTTCTTAAATCAAGAGTACCCAAAACTGCACATCCATGATCTTTTATTATTTTCTGTCCATCTTCAAATGGAGCTACACCAACCTTAAGTATACGCTTACTAGCTAGTAATTCCTAAAAAAAAAAAAAAAAAAAAAAAAAGAAAAAAAAAAGAAAAAAAAGAAAAAAAAAGAAAAAAAAAATCATATAATTATAATATTATCATTTACAATATTACTTGTTATATCATTTCAAGATAATTATATAAATACCTGTAATCTTGGAGGAATGAATCCAATTTTATTAATACGAAATAAAGCACATACTCCATTATATGTAGCAAGTTGGAGTAGGGACACGGGCCCTTCGTTTACCCATTCACAATCAAAACCTAGTATACCATCTGATAAATTGCTGTGCAAAAAGTTTATATTTCATTATTCCTTATATTATCATATTATATTATAATATAACAATAATATATTAAAAGGAAAACAAATTAATATTTATATTATTTGAATTATAACTAATGAATATTTGGAGAAAGGAAAACGTTTGAATGAGATTATGGAACGCAAAGCGAACAATATAAACAAACAAGATATAGAACTACTCAGTGAAATAAGGAAAGGTTGGGGAAAAAAATGTATAGCATTATTTGAAGGTTATAGATATTTATATAGTAGTTTATACTTACCAATAAATACGTTGAATAGCGTAATCGCTTTTCTCTAAAGAGTCAGCTAGAATAATTTGACTTAATTCGATTTTAATTTCTTTTTTATCGTTATTGTTCGATTTATTACTTCTACGTTTTATACTGGAATATATTTTTTTGACACCTCGAAGCATGTTATTACGATATTTCGAAGCTAAGAGGACTAGCCCCACAGTTACGCAAACAAGAAACATATTTTTTCGTATTTGAAGCATTAAATTAAATACCGAATTAATATAAACTTAATATTAAAACTCTATTCAATAATATACAATTTTTCGTTTCAATATACAGAGGTTATAAATAATTTATGGATTAAGAAATAACGCGGGCAAAGGTTACTAAATTAATAATAAATTAATAATATTGTAATAAATATGTTACTAAAAATCAGTTCAATTAATTACAATTACATTTATGATACCATTAATGAATATGCGACTATTGATAACTGAAAAATTTGTAAATAATTATCTCGAAAATTCACGAAAAAAAAAAACAACATTACAATACGTATTAATACATGTTTGTGTTAATTAACCGAACAAGGTTCAAGGTTCCCCATAGCAAACGTTACAGTACATACGCGGCTACGGGTACACGTACGACTGGTTGAAAATTTTTCATTATACCACCAATACAGAGCTTACTCAATCAGCCGTAGATATACATTGTGGCGCTTGTGCGATCCTAATGAGAAGAAGAGGTTCATTAGTTTTAGGATAAAAAAAGAAGATTATTTTTTCTTTCATCTAAAGAAATAAATTAGTATTATATCTTAATGAGATCTTTATTCGATATGTTTCTTTTTTAACAATGAGCAATAAAAGAGAGAGTACTAATTGTCAAAATTCTTTATCATCCAAACAAATAAAACCTAATGAATGTGCTGGTAAAATCTACTTACTACTTCTTTCTACTTTTCTAAATAATATCTGATCTTAGATATTCATCTCTTTGATTATTTTTTTTTACAGAAAATCCAGGACCGTCGACAAAAAAGACTAATGTACGACTTAATACTCTTCTTGTTAGTCCAAAACAAGTAAGATCATGTATGATATTAGTCATATTTTTAGATTATTATTAATTGATATATAATGAAAGATTATGTGTATATATATATATATATATATACATATATTTGTAGAAAGGGAATCCTTTGTTGAAATTTATAATCAATATACCTTGGGAATATTCTGAAATTGTACCAGATTATGTGATGGGAAAGACTACATGTGCTCTTTTTTTATCGATAAGATATCATCAATTAAATCCAGATTACATTCATGATCGTCTGAAATTATTAGGCAATGCGTACAATCTTCGAGTACTTTTGGTTCAGGTAAAGAATATCTTTTTTTCTTCTTTATACTTTATCCACTTATTTTTTCATTTACAAATTGATATGAGATAATATTAATAATCTACTTTTTTAAAAATGCAGGTAGATGTTGCTGATCCACATCATGCATTAAAACATTTGACACGGATATGTATACTTGCTGATTTAACGTTAATGTTAGCTTGGAACGCAGAGGATGCAGGAAAGATTATAGAAACTTATAAAATTTATGAGAACAAACCACCTGATATAATAATGGATCGTAGCGGAACAGCTCCTTATCAAAAAGTATATATAGATTGGTGGTTTTTTTTGTTGTTGTCTTAATATATTGTATTTTACATACTATAATACAATACAATACAATACAATACAATACAATACAATACAAGCATACTTATTTTCTCTATATTTTTGTTTTTACAGTTGATTAACGCTTTTACTACGGTTAGATCTGTTAACAAAACAGATGCAACTACACTTTTGTCAACATTTGGCACATTGAAAGATATAGCTAATGCATCAACTGATACCTTAGCTTTATGTCCTGGATTTAGCTTTTTAAAAGCAGAACGACTACATAAAGTATTGCATGAGCCATTTTTACAAATGGAGAAATCAGAAAAATAACGTTTAATACATATTTATTAAGAATATTTATTATTTCAATTAATATAAGTGTTTTTATATGTTAGATGATATTTTTTCATAAATTAGCCAGATATTGTTAAAAATAAATGAATGTGATCCAAAATTATGTGTAAGATTTATTTAAGAACACATGTATGTGGATATAGTTTTACAAAAATAATCACTGAAAGAAATCAAATAAAAATTTACCTGAATCTTACAGTATTTTTGTTATCATTATTGTTCCAAATATTTGATATTACCAATAAATTATAGAATACACCAGAACATCCAGCATTCGAATATTCTAATAATTGAACGTTTTACTTGATTCTATTATTCAAACAGTATGTCTCTTAGCAACAAGTGTCTTACTCTGTTACGTAGTACACGTAAAATGATACAACGTACGTTTTATCTTTGATCAAACGAATTTTGATAATAAAAAAATAATATAAAGATAACAATACACGACATGACTATAGCAATTAAATGGAAACGAATGAAATTTAACATCCGAAACGTGATCATGCGTTATCTGAAAATCCCATTATTCGAACATTTTTGTCTTCCTATTAATTCGTATACGAGAAGTTCTATTGTAAAAATTATGGCGCTAGAAAATGAAAAGCAATTAAAATTAAAATTAATAAATTCGAATTGAAAGGAATTATTTATTGTTGGATGTGTGCGTATTTATATTGAAAAATTGAATTATTTTTATAATATCAAAAATATTTAAGTTATAATACCTAAAAGATAAAGTTTTTGGTTTAGACACGATTAGCTAATAAAAGATACAAAACGATTTTGAATTCACGAAAAAGTGATTTCGCAAGGAAGTGACTTTCAAAAAAATGAAGAATTATTGCCGATAAAAATATGAATAGTTCTTTGTTTATGAACGTATTTTACATATATCTGGATATAAAAAATTCTGTTATTACATAATATCTATTAAATATCAATTATTTTAATATTTCATACAAATCTATAAACCGAGAATGTCTTATCTCAATAATAATATTCGGTTTATAATGCATTGGAATAGTATATATAGTAATAGAATATTTGTAACATTGTCAATATTCTTTATTCGGGATAATTTTCCGTTTGTTTTTACTTGAAACAAAAATCGAAAAGAATGAATTTAAAATACCTATTATTATTTTTTTGTTTAGTGCAAGTGCTACATTATTGCTATTCACATGGTAAACTATCGTGTATTTTATAAAATTAACTGAGATCGCATTTGAATTTTTAATTTTACTTTATATTACTAATATTTACCAAAATTTATATATATATAATTTACTTCAAAACTATAAGTATTCATAATGTTCGTAGGTGATCCATCGTTATCAAACGAATTAGATAGAGGCCTGATTCCAAAATGTACACTTGTTCCTGAGCAGATTTCATTTGTTCTCTCTACTAGGTAATGATTATTTGTTACTTTTATTTTATATGAATACAAGCGTATTTAGCATAAACAGCGATTAGGGCAAGTACGGTAGTTGTATGTCTCCAGCTATTCAGAATCAATGTTTCTTTTTTTTTTATTATGACATCGGTTTTCTCATATTCGTTTCTTGTCAAAATTATTTCTTTTCCTTTTTCATGCGTTATCATCAAAATAAATAAATAAATAAATAAATAAATAAATAAATATATATATATATATATATATGTATACAATAGAATAGAAATTTTTTTAAAGATATTACATAACTATAAATTAACAATTACATATACTTTAGGGAAAACCAGAATGGTGTTTTTCTTACGCTAGATAATTTAAGCAAAGGCGGAATATTACCAAAATCTGATCTATCATCGATTCCAGTTATATTCCTTATACATGGTTTCATTTCATCTGCAAATAATTCAAATTACATGGATATGACAAAAGCTTTGTTAGAAAAAGTAAGAATTCATAATGAAAAATATGATTATTAAAACATTTATCATGAGAAGAATAGTATTTTTGATTAATAAATTAATTATTATTTTAAGAATGATTGTATGGTAATCTCGATCGATTGGAGGGACGGCGCTTGTACTCATGAATTTAAAATTCTTAAGTTTATTGGTTATCCTAATGCCGTAAAAAATACACGTGCAGTTGGAAAATATATTGCTGAGTAAGTAAAAGTAAACATTTTATATATATTTATATATTTTATATATATATATATATAAAATATTTTTTGTCCTCCGTTTCTTTCCATAGTTTTACCAAGTTACTCATGCAAAAGTATAAAGTGTCACTGGCAAATATACGACTGATCGGGCATAGTTTAGGGGCACAAATAGCAGGTTTTGCAGGGAAAGAATATCAAAAGTTTAAGTTAGGAAAATATCCTGAAATTATTGGGCTTGATCCTGCTGGGCCTTTGTTCAAGTCAAATGATTGTTCCGAGAGAATCTGTGAGACAGACGCACATTATGTTCAAATTATACATACATCAAACAATTTAGGAACAGAGAGAACTCTTGGTACCGTCGATTTCTACGTGAATAACGGATATAATCAACCTGGTTGCTATCTTTGTATGTATATATTAAATTATAGCCTTTTTGAATGTATATTAGAATTTAAACAAAAATATTCAGTCAATTATATTATCCAGTTTGTTATATGATTATAGAGTTTTACAAATAATTGTTTAATAATCTTTTCTTTTGCAGCATTTCTTGGAGAAGCTTGCTCTCATACGAGAGCCGTGAAATACTTTACCGAGTGTATAAGACATGAATGTTGTTTAATTGGGGTCCCACAGTCAAAGTATTTTATATTCTTTAATATTCTGCTTTTTTTTTTGTTTAATTTGTTAAGGAATGAACGTAAAATTAACATTATGCAGTTAATTTTTTAATAAAAATATACGATTGACCGACGGAATAAATACGTATATTATTATTATTATTATTATTTTATGTAACAATATATTAAAAATTCATTTGATTTTTAGAAATCCGCAGCCAGTTTCGAAGTGCACAAGAAAGGAGTGCGTTTGCATTGGATTAAACGCAAAAACATATCCTAAAACTGGCTCATTTTATGTACCGGTTGAAAGTAAAGCTCCCTATTGCAATAACAAAGGAAAGAAAATTTAATTATATAAAAAAAAATTACTATTAATCCAAATGCATTTGTTAACGGTAAAATGAATAAATTAAGATTTAAGAAATAATTGTATATACAGAATCTCGTCCCGTATAATCGCAAAATATTTAATGGACGATTCTTAGCAAATTTAAAAAATAAAAAAAAGTTTTATAAACATATACCTTATTTGATTTTGTTTTTGAGTTATAGCGCTTTTGATTTTCAACAAACCCTGTTTTAATTTTCTAAGTGGTATTCGAAATGACTTCCTAGCATGTTAATAAAATCCTGCATTCATTTTATTAACTCTTTGCACTCGAGGGCTCCGAAACGGAGCCATTTAAAATTTGTCTTCAAACTCGAGGGCTCTGCTACGGAGACAATGCAAATAATTTTCAGTTTTTAACATAAGGACAAAAACAAATCGTAAAAACTATTTATAGGATATTTCGCTTTTGGTAACAATAATTTTTTGTTTTTTTTATATATCATAACATTTGTATTCATAAACAATTAAAAAAATAATAACATACAACGATGACTTTTCTTTTAATGCGTATATCATTAATTTACATGTAAATATGATCTTTTCATTAAAATTGCTTCGAGTTGCTGGTAATATGAATGAAAAAAAACTTCGAGTGCAAAGGGTTAATAATTATCTTATTCTCTCTATATGTTCATGTCGGAAACATTGTTTAATTCTTTCGTGAAGAGTTTCGACATTATCAATACACAATTCTGTACACAATGAATTTCAAATAATATTTTTAAATTTTAAATAATATTAAAAAAAAATTAATATTTTAAACTTCTATTTATCTTAAAATATTTATACAAATTTTCATTGTCATAAATATTTTTACGATGACATTTGATAAGTACGGACTAATCATTTAATATGATTACATATTACAATGAATAGTCAAAGTAAATTAGTTTAATATATGTAGCTTGATTTTGTAATATTTTTTAAATGTTCAGAATTAAATATGAGATATCTTTCGTATTATACTAGGTATGTAAATTCTGTCATGTAATACCAAGGTGATATTATAATGATGCACATCTCTCAATTTTATATTATTTTAAAACTTGTATTGATGCTATATACAGAACTCGCATTCTCATCGCCGATTTCACATGGAAATTATTAGAACCTATGCCATTTTCTTGGTATATTTGTATCTACAATATATGAATAATTATAGAAGAAATTCATAAAAAATATTTCGAAAAATTATATTTTTGTTTATAAAACGATTATGTAAGAATAATAAAATTATCAATTAGATTATCAAAGGATTATTAGCTTTGCCATCGAAAGAAAAAAAAAAATTTTTACTAAAACTTTAGAAATCGGGTAAATAACGTCTAATGAATATTTATTTAAAATGTTCATTATTATTACTATAGATCTTTTTGGATATTAGATGATATTTTTGCATTATAATGTTTTTTTTATGTTAAAAACAAATTAGAGAATATTTACTCTAAAATGATGACTAAAATTTATTTAAGGATACATGAATACGGGTTTCATCATAGAAAAGTAATCATATGTTAATGAAATCGAGTAAAGGTAACAACTTTAATCTAATTGAATTTACATTACCGCCATTGTTCCATATTTTAGATATTATCAACAGATCAAGAAAAAAAGTAGATCATCCTGTATCCGAACAAATGTTATCCGAATATCCTATTATCCAAATGTTCTACTATGCGAACAGAATGTTTTTCAGTTATAAATACCTCCTTCTGTCACAAATATGTGGTAAGAATAAAGTGTTACAATTGAAACTGTCCTCTGTTTGACCGAAGAAATTCTCACCATAAAAATGTAATATAAAGATAACAATGTCCGACGTGACTATGATAAGTAAGCAAAAATTAATGAAGTTTTACATCAAAAACGTGATTGTACTGTTATACGAAAATTTCACATTTCTAATACTTCCGCTATCCTATTGATTCGAATATAGGAGATTCTACTGTAGAAATTATGACGATAACTAAGCTAAAAAAAACTACAAATAAATTTT